ACTGTTTTCAAGTGTGCAGCACTTCAATCTAAGTGTTATGATTATGATTTTTTTTTAGACTTTACTGATTGTACACAACAGTTTTGCCTTATTTTAGGACCATATTTGCAAGCACTTAACGTTAAAACTGCACCTCACAGGATGCTCGCTAATGAGTAACTCCAGGTTAATTTTGCCCCCGTACAATCCAATGGGGGACACATTAAAGCCTCACTTTTGTTAAACAGTCCCAATCCTCCAAAGTAAGCAATTCTGACTTTTTTTTGAAGAGTTCTGTGATATTGTCTCTCCAGGAAGCTTCAGAAAGTATGCAGAACTATTTAGCAGCTGAACTGGTTCATTCAAGGCTGTATCGGTGAAGACCATTCTATTCATAAAGATGCTTTTTGTCACACAAAAATAATGTTGGTCACCACGCTTACAGTATAATCATGTATAGCGACACATGAGAAGGTCATTACTGTTTACACTATGAATCATCCTTGACTGTGAATCCCATAAATCCATTTTTCATCTCTTATGCCAGTTAAATCTCTCAACATCCAGTCCATAAGTTATCAAATAGGTCACCAGTCATACACACAGAATGTTGAAAGGTAAAAAAGAAGGGTCTGGTTGGTATGGATTCGTTTCTAAGAGTGAAAATCTGTGTCATAGCCGTTGTTTGTTGCAAATCAATATGGAGTGTTACTTCAGCAATCAACTTGAATGATGTGTCAGAACAAAAATACCATCAACAGCCCCAAAAGAAGTATTTGTGATTGTAGGAATTTATTTATTTGATATTTCCCCCTGTTAAAGATATGAGTGGGAAAGCAATTTAGTGTGGTGAATAAAAATTATAGTCAAATTAAAAACCCATAAAACCTCTGTAATGGTCATTTGTAGAAACATTAAAAGGTGCTGTTACTGTCACAACTAGTCACAACTACTGATGTCAAATCTTGTTGCAATTTGTGAACAACATGTATCTCCCCTATACACTAGTTAGAAGGAAAAAAGACCCAAATCCCTGTGTGCATTTATTAAGGTACATCAGCATTAACTCCTGCGACAGAAAGGTTTAAAGGCACTTCAGAGGAAAAAGGCTGTTTTTGGTTTAATGAGTAACAACAAAGGCTTTTGCACCATCTCGATTACAGAGACACAGGGGAAATGTTTTGTGACTTTGTGACTGTGACAAACAGCTGTTGTGATTCAACAGGGAATCGTTTACTGTTGTACAACAGTTCGTTTTACTCCCATTACCATCACGTGTCGTCTACAGGAGACCTTTCCTCTTCCACCGCTACGGTGACATTCATCATCCATTTGTCCTCCTCCCTTCCCTCTCTAATTCCTTTGGGTCTTCCTCTTCTCCACCTACTCTGCAGGCTCCATCTCCAATGCTTCCAAATAACCTCCGCCATGTCTCCTTAAGTTTGTCTCCACACAGCTGAACCTCTGATCCTAATCACTCCTAATGGAAATTCCTAGCACCCCCCCCCAACTCTTTCAGAAAGCTGTCTGCACACCACACACACACACACGTCAGTGCAGGTCCATCTCCTACCACCAGGTGATCACTATAATTGATTCCTACTGTTATCCTGCAATGCTTTAAATCAATTGTGCAGTTCTTTGTCCTTTGCAAAACTACAATTGAATATAATTCCCTCTGTATTGCTATTGATGCCCCAACACACACTAAAACAACATTTGTGAAGAAATGCACGTATTCATGAATCCATATGTACTGTAGTGAACAAGTCAGGATTTTCTTTTCTTTTTGTTTTTTGGTCTGTAAAAAAAAAACCTTATACAAGATGCACAAAGTCCACCTGAATGGGTTTGTTCCCACTAATCACTGCAGTGATGCTTCAGTAAGTGAAGCAATTAGCTGTCTGTGCTGCTCCTCCATCGAGAGTGAATGGACCATGATGCTGCAGCAGCTCAAAAAAAAAAAAAAAAACAACAGGATGTTTTATAACCTTTGAACAGAACTGTAATCAAGTCGCTGCTTCACAAGGTTATAAAACAAACTGAATAATGCAGTACAGATGATTGTGCAGGCAGCGGGTCACTGTAGGATGCAGGTTCCTACTAAAGTGCCTCCATTGTTAAGTCAGCTCCTCACTATGACAACTATAGAGTCACAAGGGGAAAAGAGAGGGAAAAAAACAGCCATTGGATTGTGATGTCGCTAAAAAATTGCAAAAATATTTTGCTTCTCTTCTCTTCAGCACCAAGCTGGTTGCACACTGAAATGTTCCTTTACGCATTGCATATGCATTATATCATTATAGCATTATATTTAGTAAAGTAAATTCAACACGTTTTTTGGGATCTAGGCTAGTGGTACAGCAATAAACTTGTTACATAACTGCACTTATCCTATATATATACTGTATGTATATATGTGTGTGTGTATATGTGTATGTATATATACAGTATATGTAACTGTGCCACTAGCCCACACTCCAAAAAACCTGTTGAATTACTTTACTAAATCCTTGTTATAACTAACACTAAGTAACTTTAACTGTCACAAGATTGAGGAAATCACACATAGCCAGGAATGAGTACAATGTACTTAATTCTAGACTTACTATTCATGAAAGTATTTAGTAACTGTTTACTTACTTGTGTTACATAAATAATAATAATTTAAACTAATTAAGGAAAGTTAACTTAACTCTGTAAAGCTTATTACTAAGAGTTATGAAATAACTAAGTAGATTTCATTGGACATTTTTCATTTTCAATTACTTAGTTGTATGATTATTATATTACTTATTATAATTATCTAGACTGCGTTCGTCCTCTATAGATGAACGTTAATTAATCTGAACAGAGCACAAATCACAGCCGCGATGCGATGATGAAATGATTTATTTTGTCAGCACTCAAACAGTTTTGTAAACACTCACACTTCACTAAATTAAACTTACAAATTACTTCAAGAATAAAACATTTTTATACCCATAATCTGAAATCAACTGACAGAACAGGAGCCGTACTTGACAGAAAACAAGTAACACTTCACAATTCCCAGCTGTTAGCCTGGATTAAGTGAAACAAAAGGAAACAAGTGTACGGTCCAAAAACAAGTTTAAGCATGTTGTTCTGTCTCCTTCCTCCTTACCTCAACTGTCCACCTGTAAAAGAACAAACAGAATTTGTGTTATTAAAACAAGATTTAAAACATTTAGTCCCATATTTCTGTTTGATTATGCAGTGAAGAGTAAAGTAACAGTGGTATAAGAGCATCCATATTTAGATTTATACCTGCCTAAGTGAGAAAGTCTGTTGTCGATAGTCTCTGCCCCTGCAGTGATTATAGAATTCGCTGCTGTATTGATTGTTTCCTGTGAAAGAAATATAAAGTACTAATCCATAAGTTTCTTTTGTTACATTTGTAATAAAAAAGTTGAACATTCCTCTGAGTTCATTGCTAAAAAATAACTATATTAATAATAATCAAAAATAACTGATGATTAATATAATGTTTCTGAAAATAAGCAATTAAAAAATATTTTCCTGCAGAGGGTTGAGTTCCAGGGTTGTTTTTTAAGTTAGTTTATTTTACAATAACAACTAATAGTTTCTACAAAGTGCTTTACACAACAACTTGTATGGCACAGCATAAAGGGCAGTTTTGGGGCTCAGTATCTTACACAAGGACTGCAGGGGCTAACACAGCATTAGCATGTTTCAAACTCTGTGTTCAAACAATTTACTCACAAACATAAAGCCCACAGCTGCACTCTTGGCTTGGTAACTCATGTAACAGCAGATGTTTCTATCTCTATCCCTCTCACACACACTTGCACAGACCCATATATTTTCCACAAATGTAGACAGAAAACTTACTCATGCGGTCATGAAGCATCCCTCCTCTTCTGTCAACGTCTCGTCTCGCTGACGCTCTGATCTACGCGGGCAGTTTTGTTTCAAACGCCATACATGTTTAGATTATATATATATGTGTATATATATATATATATACACATATATATATATATATATACATATATATATATATATATATATTTAATTACCATTTTTCAGTTCATGTCCAGTCATTATAAAACATGCAAACATTATGAGACATTGATTAGTACAATTTACTTAATTTATGTTCTGATTAAAATATTTAAACACATCCATTTTAATTAAGAAATTTTGGTACTGAATTCAAGTCATGGCTATAATGTGTAGTATATGCCAATTGATCTAGTATATAGTACAACACCAAGTGATAAACTCGAAGATCTTCCCCCTGGTTATGTTGCCAACTGTGTCCAAACACATTTTATTCGTCTCGTTTTTATTTTCCTCACCCTTCCGGGGCCACAACTTCACGTCAGCCCTCGCTTCATTTTACGTCTTGCTACATTACACCGACTGTCAGCTTGATGTGTTCTTTCACAAAAGTAATTTATCTTTCAGCTCTGTCTCCTTTGCTCGTGTCAAATACCATTTCCCTGCAGCACAAATGGTCCACCCCATCCCAAACTCCTGATGGAAGTGCATGGATGAAGGAGAAAAGAGAGAGGAGACACCTGAAATGGCTGGAATTCATGAAGACTCTTCAGTTCTATAAGTGAAAATAGGATTTCCCATCAAACTGTTCAACCTTAACAATCTCTTAATTTCTAATCACTGTTGCTTCAACTGCAAATCTTTGCATCTTCAACTGGAGTCTTAGCAGTGGCAGAATTTGACAACAAGAATTTTATACAGATAAAATAAGAACTATGGCATTCTTGGGCAGCATTCTTGGGATACTGCTCACAGTATTCAGCTGTATTCATGCGCTGAAAAATCAGCATTACTCCCATGTCCCTCTTCAATGCGCAGGATTTTCCGTGCGTAACAGAGGCATCATCTCGATTCAGTGACTCCCAGTGGATGGAAATGACCAAAATGACCCAAAATAAAACATTTTGCGCTTATAAAAAACAAACAAATAAAAAAGTCTCTCATGTGGCTTAGAAACAATTAGTTGCAGTACTTACCAGACACTCCACAGGCGATGATCACAGCCACAAAAAGTCTCATTGTACCGTCAAAACACTTCTTAGTTTTGGCACAAACAAACAAACAAAAAAACAAAAACACTCAGACTGAGAGTGAGGATGGGCGACGTTAACCTGTGCGTAAAACCAAAAGTTTGTTGACGTCTCGTTGTTGTCGTTGGTGAAAACAGAGCGTAGACCGTGTGTGTCGTACAGCCGCAGGAGGAGAGAGTGCGTGGAGCTGCTCCGTCAGGTCGACACGATCTGCAGCCACTTCGACTGAAGGATGGGTTTAAACACAGCCAGTTTCCGTCGTGACGCACGGACGGCAGCAGAGACTGGAGCAGCCGCAGCTGCACAGGTGCAGAGGGCACACATGGATGAGAGTGAGGGAGGCAGAGAGAGAGGGAGGGAGGGAGGAGTTTGGACAAGACTCCCTGTCTGCTATTGGTCCGTTTTTATTTTATGTTTTATTCCCTGCCACAATTCACTTGTTTGTTGTTTAAATTAAATCCTCGGACAGGAGTGAGAGGGCAGCTGCTCATAACTGCAGCCACAGCAGCAGGTACGAGGTCTTTGTACTGAGAGGCAAGGTAACACGTGACCTGTCCACATTTTTGGTGCAGCTGTCTTTTATATCCCATCCTCTCTAACAATGTCCGTGTGTTACTCTGACTCACCTGTGTGTGCTTCAGATGTACGTATCCCAGTATAACCTGACAAAGTTCCAGGTGCCATTTTTTCTTTTGCAATTAAGCTTAGGACAAATGGACTGTCCTGGTTTCTTGAAGATGTTTCACCCCACATTCTTGAGGTTTATTCAGTTCTAAATAGCTGCTGGGAAAATTCTCTTTTTTAATTTCACAGTGGCCGAATACCTGAAAAGAGAGTCGAAACAAAGGACCCAGTGTCAGGATGTGTGACATTACATTACAGTACATTACAGTACATTTAGCAGATGCTTTTGTCCACAGCGACTTACAATTTGAGTCAGTCAATCAACAGTCAAGCCACAGTAAACATGCAAAATACAAAAATACATAAATAATAAAAAATAATAAATTGGGTGTAAATATTATTTGGTTTTATATTGAATAAGAAACTGTGTCCCTGACTTTTATCTATTTCTGACAGCTAGAAGTAACCCCTGCTCCTACCAGATCTTTTATGCCAAAAGTATTAAGGAATATTTGTGTGGTTTTATTTACTTTTTACTTCCTCAAATGAAAAGTTTCTGGCCAAGTTTCAAATAAAAATGCCAGCTCTGGCCACATAATCACTGACACGTTGTACTCGGCAAGATACAAGGATTATTTTTTCCGCTCCAATGTTTCTCCTTTATCAATACTTTTTTCCCAGTTTAAAAAAAAAAACACAGATGGTGGGCATCAAAAGGTGAAACTCACAGGACATTTTATCAGGCAGCAGCCGTGACTCACTAGAAAGCACCAACAGGTCACGTCTAGCCAGGCATGTGCTTCTGTAAGGAAATGCAAATTGGCCAGCAGTCAGTAAACACAACAAATCATGGGCTATTTAAGGAGTCGGATATTCACCCCAGAATTTTAAAAAGACCGTAAGGAGAAAAAAAAGGGGGATCAAAAATGAACTGGCAGCTGGCAGCAGTACAGCATCATTTCATGTTAATACTTTGCTAATTCTGTTAAATGTGATTTAAAGGCAACAGCCTTGCACTATATGCTATTATGGTGTATTGAATTTGCCCCCTGCTGCTTTAAAGTGTCTGGTATTACAGCTACTATTAGAAAATCCAGACGTTTCCTTCTCTTGTTCACTCTCTCTCTCGCTTTCTCTAACACACACACTCACCCATGTATAACGTATTGGAGTATGTAGCCCCTTCGCTTACATTTACTAACTACTGTATATCCCTAATCATCAGCCTATTCCCGAGTAGTTTAATGGTTTAATTAGTTTAATGGTTATCATGCCTGTTTACACATCTGCCTTATACACAGAAGGTCCTGGGTTCGAGTCCCAGGGGGAACCATATGTTTGGTGTTGCAGGAGATCAGATGTTAACCCAACGATTACCCCAGTGTGGGATCAATAAAGTTCAAAATGTTACTATTACCACATCTCTATTGAGACTCTCACTAAAATTCTGGCTCCAAATTAAATCTTGAACCTACTTATTAGGCCCCTTAGTGTCTCTTCAACAACAGTATTTTTCCAATATTATAGCTACACAATTAGCACATAGACCCCCTCCATCAAAAACCACTGTTTTTATTCTTCTTTTCTACACCAGTCCCTTCACTTCTCTGCACAAATCCTATTGTTCTGAAAGGCTGGAACTTCCTGTGTCGTCAGCATAACTCGAGTGAAATAATTCCAGGCTTAATTGAGATTGTTTAAAAAAAGAACCTAGGGCATTTGTTTTTAGTATATTACACAGTGAGAGTGTCTGATGTGACTTGCACAGATGCTTGTCAGATCATTATAAAAGAAACAAGCACTGTGGGAGTGTAATTTGTTTTGCAGTACAGTACAGAAGGCCCACTCACTAAAACAATCACGTTTTTCTCGTGTTCCTGGAAGAGAAAATAGGTCAGATTACTATTTTTAGGACTTTGCCAATTTGTGAGGCAAAATGTCTCTTTAAAAGTTATCACTGCTATTACACAGTATATACTGCACATAGTTTTTTTACACATGGTAAAAAAAGCAAACAACAACTAAAAAAAACCTCAGTCTGTATTTTGACTGACTGAAAAGTTTTATGTTTTTAGGATAAATATTCCAGAAACAGTGAATTAAATGTTTTACCTGCCCTTTCCCATCATGCTTTGTATTATTTTTTGTCCTTATGTACAGTATCAGTATTAACAGAATTGTCACGTTTTATTGGAGCCAATAATATGGCTGTCAAATGATTACAAACTTGAATAATCACAGGTAGCTGTGGTTCAATTATGTCTAATCACGATGGCAATTAATCATGAATAAACATAATGAATAATCTAGATAATGAACAATGTTAAAAAAAAGCAAAAGTGTAACCTTAAATTTGTGAAATAGCAATGGTGATTTTTTAGTCTTGTACATACAAATAATCTATACCAAAAATCTATAATTACATTTATATTATGCTACAACTCAGCATTTGTGCTTCCATAGCGTAGAGGTTAGCACATCTGCACTGTGAGCAGAGGAACACATATCCTTAATGGTTCTCCCGTAGCAGCCTGTGTCGGTTGCAAAGACTCACAGTGAAAATGTCTCCATTGTGAGACACATTTTTATTTTTTTATTATTTTAAATGTGATATTCTTCTTCTAATGCTTGTAAATACATTGTTTTCAATGCACCTTCGGCGCTAGATGCTGCTAAATTGTACAGAGAATAAAATTACAGTATTCCTGAAATGACTCCAAGATGCCTGGCCACTCACTTGTATGTGGCATGTGAGAGCTACTGCATGAACACGTGTGCAAAAATGAACTGTAGGGGGATTTACAGCACAGATGTGTTCATGGACCCAAACATGAAACAGCAGAGTTGAGCAGAATCGAGAATTACAGATGGTCAGAAAGAAATATGCTTGTATTTAAATCAATAGAATGTCTCTCTTACAAAAAATATGGCTTTTTCTTTTTCATTTTTAACCGTGTATTTGACCTGCTATTTATTTGCTGTAAATTGTTGGAAACATAATTAAGGGTAAGAAATAATGAAATAATTTGTTGATTTGGCATTAAGTATACTCTGCCACTATGAAATTATCAGGTATAAATTAAAAGTAAGCCTTTAGAATAAAACAGAGCTTTTGCTAACTGAACATTTCAAAATCCTCTCGAGAACCAGGATAAAAAGTACTTTTCAATGTAACTTTCTTTAGGACCCTACTGCACCGAAGGGCTGAAACTAGGACGCACAATTTGAAATTATAGAAAAATCATTTTAGTTTTTAAAGAATGTCCTAGTTCAGAACAGAACAAAACTGTGAAAATAAAGACAAATCCACTGACGAGAAACCCAGTTTTAATTAACGGTGTTCAGCAAGTTCTGAATCTGTAGCTCCTTTTCCTTTCAGTGCTTGACCCTTTCTCTTTCTCTTTTAATCCATAAAATTTTAGTGAATACTCCGGAAAGTTTCTCTTGAAATTATCTTGAAAAACTATGTTGAAAACTGATACAACTCAAGTCCATTTTGCCGACCTTTCTGCATGGTTGCAGTCAACTGTCTCTGACATGGGCCTCGCCCTTCCATCAGTCATTTACTCTCTTCTTAGTGTCATCAGGTTCTAGGTAGTTTAGCTGCTCATTTCCTAGATGCAGTTCCAAGTTCAGATACTGTTTTAATGATCATTTGATGATTTAGCATTATGCTAACCAAACAAAAATCTTCTTGGTTCTGCCTGAAGCTAACGTAGGGGTGACAGAAGACCACAGCACCTACGTTGTCATTGTTCTCCCCCATAACTGCAGGTCTTCTCACCCAGATCATCAATCCCTAATTGATGATCTGGTGCAGACATCTTTAGGATTGTTCCCATGTGCAGTAAGAGCCATCAGGCAAGCTTTCTTACAAGGGTTCATTTGCATTCACATCATGATTTAGCAGTCAGTATAATGACTCAGAATCCCAAGTGAAATAGCATTAACTATTCTAGAACACAACCATCTACATCACTCAGTGTAATAGATGTGAAGTGATGTGATCGATAAAGATTTAATGCTGAAAAAGTCTGAGTAATTCTTAACTTATATTTAGCTGTCTGACGTTTGCAAACTGCAGTGAGGTGTTTGTCAGTATTGTCAGTTCAATTGACAATTAATTTGTTCTCACTGAGGCAAAGCTGTTGAAAATCCAGTGATGTACACCTGATTGATTCTAATTTTCATTTGCCTGTATGGCAAATTGGCATGTTTTCCTTTACTAATGATAGAAAATACAGTGATTGAGGCTAAAAAGTAATTAAAATTCAGAACAATGAAGACAATTCATTTTTAACTTTGAGCGTGGGAAGTTGCACAACATATTTTGAATTTCCCCTTTAGAGCAGAAAACCTGACCTGATGCTGGTTATTTACATACTGAATGCTGGGATAAGATGTACGACTTCAGCTTCAGAATATGTTCTCCTTGGAACTGCATCTCATTTTTCACGTAAATTGCATGTACACAAACTATTGCCATGGCCCAAAGCGAGTAGTAGATGTTAATTTATGGGATTCATTTTATTTGTCATGTTTAAAGATGCAGCTACAGTGGCAAACTGTAGAATGTATGGTTCTCAGATACTCTCTTAGATGTCAGAACAGAACGTGTGCATTATGACACCAGTGGATTCAACTGTTAAGGCGGGGAAAATGATTCAAGGAGACATAGGTGGACAGAGACAGGAGGAATGTTTGCAGGACAGTGTTCATACCTGATGTGGTGCATGATTTGAGCTTCAGGTAGTAGAGCTTATGACTCTGAGATTTTTATTGGACCACAGATCAGAGTGGACCATGATGATCAATCACGGTAAAACCACAAGTTTATGTGAGACCATTGACAAGAAGCAGCAGGGAGGAAGCAGTGGCAAAACAAACAGTGTGTGTATTGAACCATAAAAGAAATAAAAGAAATTGGGTCTAATGAGGATGGTTGTTCTTCCAGCAGAAATAACACCGGCTAGAATGAGATGGAAGCAGATGATCTGCAGTTCCTGGACAGGAAGAAACACAACAAAAGAACTTTATACAGTCTTCAGAACTTTTGGTTCAAATTGACCTGTTGACCTGCAGCAGGGCATTCAGATTCATGTGTCTTCTAACT